TTTTTTTTTTTTCATAAAGGCCATCCTGCTTCTGTTTGTGTTTAATTCCTTTTGTTTTTTTTTTTTTTTTTTTAGTATGAAATGGAGAGACACTAAGATTCACCAAAAGATCTGCACCAAGTGACTCTTTAAAGCAGAGTTTGTGGGGGAAGGAAGTAGAGGATCATTTAACTAACTACTTTTATTCTGCAGTCAACTAGGAATTAAAGAGCAGTAATTTTTATCAATTGTAAGCAATCTGAGAAGCAAACCTACAGTCTAATTTTGAAGTACCTTACTGTACTTTGCAATTACCTCCATGTTAATAATATAAGCTAATGAATAACTTCAAATGCATGAGAAAAATAAGTCTTGGATGAAATCTCTATTTGCCATTGAGTCTTGATAGGCATCTTGCTCTGATCTCTACACTGTGTACTTAAATATGTATTCCTTTTTTAAATGTTGCAGTGCTAATTTTCATTAAGATAATAAGTATTTCTTTGAAAACAAGTATGTATATATCTAGTCAATTAAAAGTAGAGATGTCTAAATTTACTGAAGATATGGTAATTTTACAGGTGCCCGTTTGGTATAGTATTCCTATTGAATTGTATGCTAGTAGGGAGGAAAAAAAAAATGGAGCTAAGTCACTTTGATAAAGCAGGATAAAGTTTTATAGCCACTACATAGGAGAAAATATTTCTGCCCTTAGACAAAACATTTTTTATCTCAAAATCACTGTCCAATAAAGAATGGAAACTTCATAGTAGCATGCTCGGTTGTGTTTTCAAAGCTGAACTTGATTCATTCTGCTGCAGGTGTTCCTTTATGTACTTTTTATACTAGCATGTGTGTTTATATACATTCTCTCCTTCCCCCTATGTCTGTGAGGTTATTATTACATGGGCAGAATTTCAAGTGAGAGGAATTTGAGGAATGCTCTTGTACTGCCAGTACTAGTTTTCTTCAACTAACTGAGGATTCTGTAGTTAGTGAGTTTTCATGTTGTTTCTTCTTTAGTTCTTTCAACCTGCATTGTAAGGAGCATTTTAAGTTTTGGAAGATTTCTTTGGACTGTCTTTAGTTTTGATGGTAGCTGCTGTATCAAATATCTTAAAGAATATTCTTGCATGGTTTTGTTTCTTAGCTTCTTTTGCATTCCGTCATGTGGTTGGGATTGATACTTATTGAACAGTGATTTAAATATACAGTCATCTGCTGACTTTTGGAATACTTTCCAAGTTATCTGTTTTAATTTTCCTTAAGTGTTAATTTTAAAATAAAAATAGCATTGTCAGTAGGAGTCAGTCTGGTTTCCAAGGAAATAATTCATGTTATCATTGTTTGTAGTGTCCATTTTCCTTCTTTTTAGTAATTTGTTGCTGCTTTCATTTGAATTGTCTGAGAGGAGAAAAAGAATGTGATAGAAAATTAAACTATGTAAAATGAACACCTGTGCTGGGAGGAAAAAAGCCTAGAAGGGTCTGTCCTTGCAGGTCAGTTGCAGCATGAGCTTTTAAGTTATAAAGCTTCTTTAGAAAGCCCCACTGAATTGTTTTCTCCACTTCACACCTTTTCTCCTCATTGTCCATCTATAAATGAAATTAATTGTAAGAATTTCTGCGTGCGCCAGGACAATGGTTAAAGTAAAAGAAAAATAAAGCAGTTTGCGGAAGAGATGTTCTTTTTCTTTTTGGTACAACAGTAAGTCTTGTTGTTGTTGTTGTGGATATTTATATAACAAATCTACTTATGGACAAGTATAATTTGTATTTACATGACGCTGTGGAAAATATAGTTGGCTGTCATGACAAATACTATTATACATGTGGTACCATGCCTTTATTACACAACTGGAAAACAGAATTAAGACATTCACAAGTTTTGACCTCTGTTACTACTTCTCTAAAGTGTTACAGCTTTTCACAGTGGTTACATTTTCCCTTTCCTGTTTGATGCTTTTTGTTTTCACCAGCATTTTCAGTCTTCTGGTTCTTTTCCTTTTGAATTCTCTATTTTTCTTGTATGACAGTGGTTGGATTTTACAAAGGAGACAGAAAAATTGAGTGTTTGAGTGTGGTGTGTGTGGTGATTTCTTTTTTTTTTTGGTTGGTTTTTTTTCTAAAGGTGTTCTTTTAAATTTTGAAACACTTAATGAAATGCTGCATTTTATATTTTAGATACCTCAAAATCTTGCATCCTGTTTAAAAATAGTGGGGCCATAACTTGGCTGATGAAATCTTCACACTACGAAGTACAACATTCTGTCAGAGTGAAGTGTTAAATTGAGTTATGCTCAAATTGAATATTTATTTTTCACTTCTCAAGGAACAGAAGGTAGTGTTTCAGTGTTGAAACCTAATTTTTTTGGCAGCAACAACACTGGAAGCTCACTATCAGTGTTTAAAGTAGGCTGCACGCTGTTTTGAAAGCATGTTGTGTGCCTTGTGGAGATCAAGTGAAAAGGAGGCTTGGCTGACCTCTGCATATACATACGTATATATACACATGTATACACACACTACTGTTGCTTTTAGCCTTCCATGCTATGAAAGTGTAATGAGCTGAATTGGATATTGGAACTGATTATTTTATAAGGGAATACCCAAGAGCAGCATTATGTTATATGGGTTGTCTGTCTGAGGTTTGGGAGAACTTGGGACTTCAAAAGAGGAAAGAAAAAAGAACCTTTAAAGGCCGGTCTGTAACTATAGTCTTCTGCATGAGTTTTGCCTAGGTGTTCACCTCAAAATATGTCCTTATCTTTAATACTTCCCTGTGCTCCCCACCACCCTGGATTTAGTCCTCCATTTTGTCCTCTGTTCCTTTTTGATTTTTTTATTTTAGAGCTTCTGGTAACAAATAAGGAGTCATACTTTGTTAAAACGTGCGTGCTGTAATACTTGAGGAATACAGTAAGTTAAGGATATAGAGCAAAAAAATTAGGAATATATGATCTATATTGCACTGCTTACTTGTCATAAGCTATTATAAGAATAGAATTTAATGAATAACTTTTCACAGGGAATTACTTCTTAATTCCCATCTAAACTGATTGGAAATTAAATATTTCCTAAGTAAACAAATCTCTGTAGTCTCGTCAGTAGGTATATGAAAATATTTAAATTGTTTTTTTCCTTCCAAAAATAAGCCCTCTAGGGTTAAAAGCGCATGGTATAGCTATTGCTTAGTGGGAAAACTGATTTGTGTAACTTTTTTTTTCCCCCCTCAGAACTTCCTCCAGATTCAAAACAAAATATTGTATGTTTAAGCAAATGCCCCAAAACAGACTTACTTTCTTTGTCTTTGCAAAATTATGATCTGTATACGTTTTGTTGGTGAAGTTGACTGCAAAGTTGAGTGTGCAGTTTTCCATGAGGGAGTGGGAAGGGCAGGTAATGCCGATGCTCTGCACTGTACTGGAGTCCAGACTGGTACTGTGCTGCTACTGCCATTGGAAATGTGGATCTTTCTTCTCACTTTCTGTTCAAAAGATCACTAAGAATGCCTATGTGCTATGAAAATAACTTGAGTAGTGAGTAACCGGGAGTATAGCTGGCAGGGTGGTTGTTTTTTTTCCCCACTGTGTTTAAAAATGGCCATGCCCTCCTCCCGCCCCATGTTGTGAAAGTTTCCCATATTTGAAAACTGAAGATTTGCACTGGCTACAGTTTTATTGTTGTTGGGAGCTGGCATATCGTAACAACCTCTGTTGAGCAATATAATGATTGGGTAGTCCTGGGTCAGCTGAACTGAGTCTCAGAAACTGTGTTGAGTTACAGTAACTTGGGTAGAATAGTCCAGTGCAATCTAAATACTTGGTTTGTTAAAGTAACACTTTTCCTAGTAATACCATATTTTCCTTGCAGGACAGTTCCAAATCTGGTTACATGATTTCTTCATTGAGCTTTAGATGCTAGGACATGTCTTAGTAGGCTTTTTTATTTTTAACTGGAAGAAGGGCTCAATACAAAGAAGATAGGAATTTAGAAATGCAGTGTAAAGATCAGACTTGGAAATGCTGTTAAACTTTGTACTCCCTAGGAGGGCTAACTTCTTCCTGGTTTGTTGGGTTTGGGGTTTTTTTAGTTGGGTTTTTTTGTGGTTTTTTTTTTTTTTTTTTTTTTTTTTTTGCAAATACTAGGAATTGAGGAATAGCTTCAGGACAGTTATATATAAGTTTATTACAAGGTTTTAAATATCATGTAATTTTTACTATTGTTTATTAGCCAATAAACACTGTTAGTTCAGAACTCTGATGCTCTGCTGCAAAAGGGATTCCATTGCCAAGTGATTTGAGTAGTAGTGATTGATTAGGAAAGCAAACTTTCAACAAGCATGACAGTTCAAATAGTGATGAGCAGGAGAAGGGGGAAAAAAGGCTGCATTAGAGAGTTAAGGCAGGTGGAAAATGGGAGAACTAATCTGATTTAAAAACAAAACACCAACCTACTAGAGAGAAAATGAGAGTATTTTACCGATGCCTGTTTGGTTTAGCAAACTGCTTTTGAAAGAAGATAGAACACAAATATTTTGGTCTGTACTGGGTGAATCAGTAAACAGAAGTAGCTTACATAGTATTTTGATGAATTTTGGCTTAATGCATCTGTTTTTAATTTCTCTTTACATTTTCATAGTGTTGGAGTCAGAATATACCAATAACTAGAAATGAAAACTTAAATAATTTTTAGGTATTACACTAAAGTTATGACTCTTAATCACTTGCTGAGGAAAAATCTGTTCTTTATCGCTCAAGTCACATGAAAAATTGTTGCCTTTTCTGGTCTATGAAACTACTAAAGCAATATTTTAAGATGTACATATTAAGGTTTGGGTACTTCAGATGCTTATAAGCATGTATTTATGTACTGACATATATGAAATATTGAGTATTAGTCTTAAAAAGAACTAGATCAGGCAATGCATGTTTAACAGTTTTAGTACGTTTTAGTATCATAGGTTCCTGTTAGATATGATTTTCATGTGTACAACTCATTTTTTTTTTTTTCTTCCTCCAGATTTGAAGAATAGAAGCATGCTTTCCACTGAGACTAACACTACCATTTGTGATACAGAATGTCTCTAAGTGAGAAGAACAGTGTGGTTTTTGCATATGAATCTTCAGTACACAGTACCAATGTACTTCTCAGTCTTGATGACCAGAGAAAGCAAGATATTCTTTGTGATGTTACTATTTTAGTGGAAGATCAGCGATTTCGGGCTCACAAAGCTGTGCTTGCAGCTTGCAGCAGTTACTTCCTTTCAAGAATTGTGGGCCAGGTGGATGCTGATCTTATCATCACTTTACCGGAAGAGGTGAGTGTCACTCCCTTCTGTATTTTACCTGCCAGTGCTTCTAATCTGTTTTGTTCAGTTCTGTTTTACAGTAGGCTTGTGCTTAGTTGAGAAGTTAAAGTAAGAGTGTTAAGAACTCAGGGGAAGGAATTTCTAAGTTCTGAAGCTGCCGTTGGTTGAGGTAAAGGCTAAACAGATCAGACTGAAGATAAGTGAATGCTGTCTTGGGGAATGTATAGAGGAGATCTTTTCAATTAAGTATACATTGCTTTTAAAATTGTGCACCTGATTCAAAGCATGTAAGTTTGTCAAAAGACAGGCCTTAAATGGTAAAGAGGTATTGCAGAACTAGTCCTCCTGTATGAAAAGAGAATACTTTTGGAGTAATAAATTAAAAAATTAAAGCTTAAAATTATAATACCTTTAAATCGGTATCATTAAGATTTGGTTTTGTATGTTTGAGTAATACAACTATGCTTATATTCCTTGCTGCTTACTGTTGTTAATTTTCTTGTACTCGCTTCCCTATCCTTTTTACACACTGATCATTAGCAGCTTGATTTTTTTTTTTCCTACTGTGTTTTATTACTTTTAAGATTGAGAAAACGTATTGCTAATACTCGCTTTCTTTTTTTAATCCTAAAATACATATTCTTAAATCAGATTGAATGTCAAGGCATTCAGTGTGAATGAGCCAGAATCTGATATCTGTAGGAAAGAAAATGTATTATTGCATATTTGGAGCGTCCCGGACATTTAAAGACTCCAGTTGGTATTTAGTTAAGTTATGAGAGTCATGAGGCAAAAAAGTGACTGGATACGAAATGCTGTGTTTGTAGATGAAAAGTGAAGTCTCCAAGTGCTCTGATTACTGCTACCATTGGGCACAATCTGAAGAGTTGGTTGTTAAATAACCAGTGGCTTTCTGGAAGGTAGTTCATGGTAATCAGCTTTGTGGGTGGGAAATAACATGCAAATTGTTGGCAACTCAACAAGAATTTGGAAAAGACCTTTAAGATGAAGTCCAATCGTACCTGTCCACCACTAAACCATGTCCCTAAGCACCTCATCTGCCCATCTTTTAAATACCTCCAGGGATGGGGACTCGACCACTTCCCTGGGCAGCCCATTCCAGTGCCTGATAACCTTTTCAGTGGAGAAATTTTGTCTAATATCCAATCTAAACCTCCCCTGGTGCAACTTGAGGCCATTTCCTCTCATCCTATCACCCATTACTAGGCAGAAGAGACCGACCCCCACCTGGCTACAGCCTCCTGTCAGGCAGCTGTAGAGGGCAATAAGGTCTCCCCTCAGCCTCCTCTTCTCCAGGCTGAACAACCCCAGTTCCCTCAGCCGCTCCCCATCAGGCTTGTGCTCCAGACCCCTCACCACCTTCGTTGCCCTTCTCTGGACACGCTCCAGCACCTCAGCATCTTTCCTGTAGTGAGGGGCCCAAAACTGAACGACAGTATTTGAGGTGCGGCCTCACCAGTGCCGAGTACAGGGGCACGATCACTTCCCTGCTCCTGCTGGCCACACAGTCGTTGAAGTTGGAGGAAAGGTGCACATCAATGATCATTTGTAGTGGCACTGGAGATTACATTATGGACTTGTTCATGTACAAGACTGAATTGAGTGTTAATGCAGAGATGATGTATTCATAAAGCCCGTACTTCAGTAAAGTAGCTACTTCACTGGCTGTGTAACATACTGAGATAAGCACAATCGTTCTCTGTTACCAGAATCCTTCTGATTTTATAGAAAACGGAAAACTAAAAAGAATCAAGTGGTCTCTTTTAAAGAGTATCATTGGTCTTTGGTATTATCTATTGATCAATGACTTTGTTACAGAATTATGTTACAGCATAATACCACTGTGTCACCTTTACTCAACCTTCTTACGGTGTCTGTGTGTTTATTTCTTCTTATACTTCTTTTCTTAGTGGCTTAATATATTTATAGCCACTTATATATATACTTATAGCCATTTATATATATTTACATTCATGTCACTCGGATTAAGAAAAAAGTAATGATGGGAGCTGATGTGGGAAGGAACTAGGATGCTGGGGGACACAAAGCCATGATTTGGACTAAAAGAGAGAAAGTAGTGGTGTGTAAAACTTCTGATGTTGAAGAGAGAATTTTCCTTTGGGATGATGGAAAAAATAAGATATTGGAAGAATAAGAAATGTACATCAAAGTTGGAGAAGGGAGAAATAGTCTGTGGTGCAAAGCAACAGTGTTCCAGTGAACCCATGAAATAAAACTGAGTCAGAAGGGACCAGAATTTGTTCCTCCTTTTTCTTTACATAATAATCCTGTTATTTACTATGATGTTGACTTAAGAGGACTCTTAATGTAATTTAGTATTACTGATGTAAGAACTGAATCTGCAGAAGCAACGAGCAAAAATACGAATAGTGAATATCATCTTTTAATCATTTGATCTGATCACTTACTTGGTAAAAGCATTTTAAGACTCAGCAACTTGAACTTCTCTTCTGGGAACTGCTAAATATTTTGAAATGAGTCAGTTTATGAAGCTGCATATTTAAGAGAGGCAAATGCTGATCACATGGCTTGATGTGTGATTTTTTTTTTGTTTGTTTTGTTTTCTAACCTTTTTAATATCCAAAGTATTTGAAGTTTAAAATGAAAGACAGCAGTCCACAATCTGAAATACTAAAATATTTTTGGAATTAAAGTACTTCATATGTATTATAATATAAAGACTAACTACTGACATCTTGGTGTAGGTTCTGTGTTGCTTTTCTACCAATGTTTTTACTCCATGAGTTAGACTTTCAAATACAACCTAAGTAAACGGCTACTGCAAGAGTTGCACTTCTAGGTCGGTCAGACCAAGAGTCTTTCTAATGTTCTATCTTGTTTGAGGGTAGCTGGCTAGAAATGTGTAAGAGAAAGTGAAAGGAGTACAGAGTGGGTTTTTTTTTTCCCCCCTCTCAATCCTTCCAGTTTTCAGCAGTTAAGTGTTTCTACCTTATACAGAAAGAATGTATAGTTTTGAAATACCATTGTATTTGTTTTGTTCGGTTTCATGCATGAATGTCACTTGTTTGCAAAACTGTTTTAATGATTTATTGACTGTACTAAGTTTGAAGACTTCTTGACAGCTTATGGATAAACTGTCTTTTACACTCCCCTTCCCCACATTATTAAGGATTAATTAATGTGATGGTGTAATCGGTAGTCTTCCCTCCAGAGCATATTTCAAATGCTATTTTAGGAATACTTTAGATAGGTCATACGAGCTTACAGACAGTTTTGCTGAACTGTCTCTTATGAATCTCTTCAACTTCCTTTTGTGTGTTGTTCACGTATTCTTTAAAAAAAAAAAAACAAAACAGCAAAAAACCACTAAAAAACCAAGCAAAGCAACCTTTCAACTGATTCCTGAATAAAATTGCATGTATAGTTAATTAACTTGCTGGCAGAAGAATTCGGTATAGTTTATGTGTTAATATAGCACTTTATTCAGCATAAATCCTGTTCATTTCAGTAAAGGAGGGGAGCAGAATGTGGGATTGAATTTGAGTAGTAATAATGGATGTATTGCTTTATCCTTCACTTGCAGGTAAAGGCTGAAAGAAGTGTCCTGTAAATTGTAATATGGTGATCTCTTTAGAGTTTTCTGTCTGATTCTGTAGTAATTTTTTCGTGCGTAGAAGATGATATTGTTCAGTTTGTAACGATACAGTTTTTGGTTATCTCTGGATTTGCTGTTAGAAAACTGTTCTGCAGTAAAAACTGAGATGATAGTGATGAAAATGTTCAATTAAAACTACCTAGTCCAAAGAGGCTTTAAATTGAGAATAATTGGTACAGTTTTTGGGTACAATTCTCTTCATCTGTGGGAGAAAGAAAGGAGTTAGGTGGCTATAGTAATAAATAATCATGTATGGTCAAATTCCATTTTTTCAAACTTTTTTGTATCAATGATGTGTAAGACTGAGCAAGTAACAGTAATTGCTCTTTAAAGGAACAATTAAATACCAGCAGTATTTTGATCTTATTTCTACAGCAATTCATCTACAACTTGGGTTGGAAAGGTATCTTAGTAGAGTTGGAATCCAGTTACTGGTTTTCATTGTACAGCAGTATTTTTCAGTTGTTAGTACTGTATTGTCAGAACATTGTATTAAGAGTTGATCACAGTGAAGAACGATAATTGCCACAAAATGTACAGGATAAAATTGTATCAGAAGATTAATTTTGGAATGAGTGTGGCCAGGCTTTCGGTGCAGAACAAATATGCTGCTTTTGTCTCGTACTCTGTCCTGCTGGCCTGGTTTCTTCATGGGTAAATCTGGGTTCTGTGGGTTTCTCTATTTAAACCATATTTGCCATACTAATATTTTTTCTTTTTTTTTTTAATAGGTAACACTTAAAGGATTTAGTCCTTTGCTTCAGTTTGCATACACAGCTAAGCTTATTTTAAATAAAGACAACGTGTCTGAAGTTTGCAAATGTGCTGAATTTTTGGGTGTACGCAACATTGAAGAGTCTTGCTTTCAGTTTCTCAAATTCAAATTTTTGGACTTTAAATCAGAATCCTAGGAAGAAGTGCTGTACACAGCATTGTCAGAAAGCAAACCCTAAAATTGTCAGTGTGGGTGATGGAGACCTAGAAATAGATGATGAAGCAGAAGAACTTTTAGAAAAGGAATTTATTCAAACTCCTGACACAAAGCTCTGTAAAGATGAAGAAAATGTTAAGTTGTCACCTGCTCTCCAAGATAATGCCAATCAAACATGTGATCCTGCACATTCAGAAAGGGCTAGTGTTTCCAGCTTATCTTCCCAATGCCCGAAGTATAGGAAATTCCAGAAGGCTTTTGGAAATGATAAAGTTCATACTTCAGAGTCCAGTTCCAGTATTAAAGACATTCAGGTGCCAGCAATTGCAGCTTTTCTTGACAAGGAAATATCTGATAATGATGGCATACAAAAAGCTCAGGAGTGTGTACCTATGCAGCTGGTCTCCAAATGTGAAGAGACTCAGGTAAAAATGGAAGAAGGGGAAGAAGGCATTGAGAAAAAAGAAGAGTCGAAGAGAGATTCTGTGACTCAGAATGTGCCGTGTCCTGTGGAGAAAATGGATCTTGCTGCTTTCCCCCAAAACTCTGCTGCGCCTCATGGACTCAGTTCTGTGTCTTTTTTACATACTTGTGAGCAATATGGTAACTTGAGTTTCAGTAGTATGCAAAACAACACAGTCTTAGCTGAAAAAACTGTATCGGGTACTGGAGTTGGAAATGACAAAATTGAAAGTCTGGATGACGCACCTTCAAGGGTCGATTTGTGCCCTAGGGAAGCCACTAACATTACATCAGCTGGTGATCGAAGCAGTGTGGAGAGAGAGGTAGCAGAACATTTAGCACAAGGGTTCTGGAGTGATATTTACAGCACTGAAGGCTGTCAAATACATTTACCACCTGCAGTTCAAAAAGAGTCCTTGGAGCCAGTGTATTCGGGGAAAAAATCAGAGTGTCCATGGCTGGGTATCAGGATCAGTGAAAGCCCTGAACCTGGCTCTCAACGAACTTTTACAACATTAAATTCTGTCAACTGCCCTTTCATAAGCAACCTTAGTACCGAAGGATGCTCCAACAGTTCTGAAATAAGTAGTGGAGATTATGTTCAGGGACAGCAACAAGAGCAGTGTCCCTATAATTATGTGATAAGTTTGGGAGAGGATTCAGAAACTGACACCGAGGGAGACAGTGAATCCTGTTCAGCAAGAGAACAAGAATGTGAGGTAAGAGCATCCTGGTGTATCCTTTGCTTCCCTGTCTCTTAAGGCCCTATTCAAAAACCTAATGGTGGGGGGTTGTGGTTGCTTGTTTTAAAAATCTGGGAAATGAAACTATTCAAAGGTTTATATGGAAGATCACTGTTAATTCAGGGAGACTTATAAAGTATTTTTTGGTAGGATATTGAAGTGGTAGATGTTTAGGTATTAGATCTCTTCAGATACTGTTCTGGAACAACCTTATCGGAAAAGGTGGTAAGTCTTAAACCAAGGCACGGAGGGGGTCTTTTTTAGAAATTTTTTTGTCTATTTCAGTTAAACTTCAGAAAACTAAACTTCTTGGTATCTTTGTTTTATAGAAACTTAACAATTTTCTTGGTTTTATTATGAGTTGTGGGGGGAAGGTAGGAGAGAAATGATACTTCAGATTTACTGTGAAAGGAAGATTAAGTTTTCAAGCTGGCTGGTAGCTGTGTATTTAAGACTGCTTTAATAGTATTGCCTTCTCTAGAACTGAGGTTGTTCCTTCAGCTGCAGAAATTACTTGGCACTTCTTTCCTTTGTCATTGCTTTGGTAGTGTTTTAGGCAGATGCCATACATAAATAGTCTAATCCCAAAAGATTTTACTATATACCTAGGATGGTTTCTGTCACAGTTCTTAGAATTGTAGAATTGCAGTGTGACACAGTGTACGATGGATCATTTAATGTCATGATAATTTAGTTGTTTTTAAAGGTCTAGTGTGGTTTTTTTCAATATGCAAGGCCTTACTGAGACTTAAAATAAGTGGAAGCTACCATCAATACAGAAGTTGGTGGGCCAAACAAAAGGCCAGAATTGGCTAAATACATTCCTCATCTTCACATTATAAAGAAGTAAATGGCATAATTGGTGATGGGCAATACTCTGTCCTTTTTTTGCCTGTTTGTCTCCAGTGGTAGCCAAACACAGAAAAGGGGTCTCTGTTCTTTAAACTAAATTCAGATCTTTGACCACAGCGATGTAACATGTTCTGCTACTTAATATACCCAAATGTAAGGATACAAATAAAGTGTCTTTATTTGGATACCTCATAAAATGTGGCAATTCATTTTGTAAAGGTAAAGATGTTCTTTGGTATTAATCAGGATGTCGTGATCTATGTATGTTTCAGAAGCCTCTGCTTCTGTACCTCAGGTGTACAGACAGTAGCAAGAGCCTGGTTCTTTCCTCCAGCATTAAGAATTACAAGATGAATACTGTAACTTTTCTGTTTTAAGTAAATGCCTATTTCAGAGGAACTTTTCCTGCAGAAAATCATAGGTATAAAAATATATGCAGGATACAATCTTAAATAGTAGCTTAGGGTAAACTTTAGACTGGCTTAGTCATTTCTGACACCTGCTTTGTGCACCACCGAACCACAACTTATTTTCCTAGAGTGTATCACCTAAAAATTTACTGCACACATGAATGGATTTCATCCTACTCTGAATATGCTTTTGAAGATGTAGTGTAAATGTGAAAAGTACTCGGTTATTTCACCTGTGCTTGAACTCATCTAGCCGAAACCCCTGGATTTTATCCACCTCACCTCACCTGATGGCTACATTAGCTTGCTCTTGTCTCTGGGATTTAGGAAGAAAGATGGGTTGTGTGGTAAAGAATGCTTAAAATAAAAACTTGAATTGGCCTGTTGGTGTTTGTGTGTATCAGTTTCACCTTTGATTTACAACTGTATCTTATGTTCTAGGTAAAACTGCCATTTAATGCACAAAGGATCATCTCGCTTTCCAGAAATGACTTCCAGTCATTTCTGAAAATGCATAAACTAACTCCTGAACAATTGGACTGTATTCATGATATCCGAAGACGAAGTAAAAATAGAATTGCAGCACAGCGATGTCGTAAGAGAAAACTTGACTGCATACAAAATCTTGAATCTGAAATTGAAAAACTGGTATGTATAAATATTCATTACTGTTGACTTGAGTCTTTCTCTAAACATCTTGACTGGACATCTGGCAGTAGTTTTAGCGTGAGGTAGCTTACTACTTTTTCCACTCAAACTTAGAAAACTTTATCAGTCTCAGATAACTTCTTGACAGCGGTTCTAGATTTTCTGTGCTTTACTCTAAAGTACACACGTTTTTCCTTCTCTGGGCTTGTTTCCATTCAAGTAAAAGTGCATCACAGCATAATTTGGTTAATGGTGTTTCTGAAGCCCATCAGCATTGAGCTTAACTGTACAGAATGATTCCCAAACCATCATCCCATTCTTTGTTTTCTACCTCTTTCCCCTTTCTTGCTTTGTGCTTTTGTTCGTCAGCTTGTGGCATTGCTCATGATCAAGTTTACAGTTATGCAATTGTTGTGTAAGTATTGTTCTTGTAACATATCAGCATGGGCTGGTGAACTGTTTCCTGAGTCTTGAATCTTAAAAATGAGACCCATGCAGAAAGGCGGAAGATACAGCAGAATTCAGGAAGCTGCTTGCCTTTTTAGCAGTTGTGTCAAGATTGTAGCTGAGAAATTAATGCATCCAGATTTCTCTGCAACCATCTGTTAATATAATTTATCTTTCTACTGCCTTTTAAGAAGGAGAAAGATGTAACTCAAGAGAAATGTGGATAATCTGAAGTTCTCCTGGCAGAAAAAAAATTAAGTGGCTTTTTTCTGGTCTTTTATTTTTGACCCTCCAATCTCAGTTCCATAGTTGATTGTACCATGTGCACTAAATAGTTCAGTTGTTTAGGATTACTGTACTTTTAATTCTTGTTTATGGAGCGTTTTAGACTTTGTGTTTATGTACATGAATTTGGTATCTGTATTAGCTAAGAACATACGTAGTCATGTTGTACCTTTCTCCTTATGACTTCAGAGTGAAAAGAAAAAATTAGAGCAAAGTGCCATGGGATAGAAACTTATTTTCTTGAAGTGGTCCATCATCTTTCACTACATGCATTTTTACTTCTGCAACAAAGGAGACAGACTTTGAAGGAAAGCCTGTAGTGCCGTACAGCCCTGATGAGCTGACAGAACAAGTCATTTAGTGTGCTGAATGAAGAAGATACTCTGGGAGGGAGGGAAATCAGGTGATCGTGCTAATAACAGTTATATTATTCTGACTAAAGAGAGAAGCTGCATTTCTGGCAGTTCAGAAGTTTCTGCCTGGTTTTGTCATCGTGTTGTCATTTCTGTTTGTTATGTAACTTTGTCAATATTGTGCAACACTTGGGGGGGGGAGGGGAGGAAATTAGAGATTCATCTGCAAGATTAGACCTGTAGTTGACTAAGTGACTGATAATCATAGTATAAAAATCCTTGCTCCTGTGGACTTACACTAGAACAGACAATGTCTGTTGTTTGACAGATATCACTGTGCAAGGTCTAGACAAGGAGTGTTGAGAATCATGAGGTGAGGTCTGAGTTATGAATCGTGCTCTAGGCACAAACATGTTCGAGTTGCTTATTTTTTCCAACTGTGCAGGTAAGTTTATTCAGAACCTCCTGAAGAGACCTTGTTTGGAGCTGATGAGTGTGTCTGACAACCACTGGTGTTATGCACCATCAAACTTGTGTAAGTCATGCACAACTACAGAAACCTTAAGATCTGTCTAGGCATAATTTCCAAGTGGGTGGAAGAAAGAGACTTCTGTGAAGGGTGTTGTGTGGTACATCCAGGTTGCTTCATGCATGATGACTCCTGCCTTGTTCCTGCTTCTCTGGGTCAGTCATGTGTCTCAGACCTGTTAGTCTTTGATCTTCTCATGGTATCCTCTGTGATGTGGCTATGACAGAGGATAATATGGTGTAGCTATAGTTTGAAAACTCTTGACAAGTAGATAATACACTCTACTATAGCCTGTTAGGAAATACTGTTTAGTTAAATTCCTCATCCTGGCTTCCAGTATATACAGCATGTTGTCTTGTATTAATTTATATTCCTTGTTGCTTATCAGGTTTTTGTTCTCTCAGATTAAAAGATTTGTGGTGTGTTTCTTGGGAAAGTCCTGTATCTGGAACAGACTAACCCCGTGCATGAGTAGAGGCTGGAGACCAACTGGCCGGAGAGTAGCTCTGCTGTAAAGGACCTTAGGGGTCTGGGCAGACAGTGAGCTGAGCATGGGGCAGCAACATACCTAAGCTGAAAAAAAGGCCATCAGTGTCCTGGGCTGCATTAGAAGGAGCACAGCCAGCGGTTCAAGGGTAGTGATTGTATTCCTATACTTGGCGCATGTGAGACTGAATCTTATGCCCAGTTTTGATGCCTCCCAGTGCCAGAAATACGTTGACAAACTGGAGCAAAGTTAGGAGAAGGCCCCCAGGATGGTCGGGCTTGGAGTAGAGTACTTCTGTGGTGAGAGGCAGAGAAAACTGCTTCTGCTTGGAGATGAGATGGCTGTGGGGAGACCTACTACCATCTGTGGAGAAGGGGAAGTCCTCAAGATCGTGTAGCCATTGAGTGTGAAGATCTTCAGCTTCCCAGGGGGTTCTGGTTGTTCACAGCAGAACAAAAGACATTGTCATAAATAAAAATGGGTGGTTTCAACTGGATATAAGGAAACACTTTTTTCCAATGGGGACAGGCAGCCAATGGAGCAGGTTACCCAGAAAAGTTGTGCATGCTCTATCCTTGGAGGTTTTTGTGACGTGACTGAGCAAAGCCCTGAGCAGCCTGATCTTACCCAGAG